CAGTAGGAGTTGATAGGTTCCCCTATCGTCTGGTTCACGCTCCTTCTCCTTCTGTTAAACAGGAATAGAGGTTAGTAATATTTTCCTGTTTAGGATTGGATTCCCGGTTCCTTTAAAGTCTTCTTATTCTCTTACACTCCTACTAACCCCTTGCGTCTTAGTAGCATTATCGCCTTGCTTGGGGTGAAATTATTTTTTTTTAATTATTTCATCCTCATTGCGTAAAGGCTTTATAGCCTTTAAGACGCAATGCATTACTGAGTGTGAGAATATGACAAAGAAACATTATCAAGGCGATGATAAGAATATGACAAAGAAACATTATTAAGGCGATGATAAGAATATGACAAAGAAACATTATTAAGGCGATGATAAGAATATGACAAAGAAACATTATTAAGGCGATGATAAATGAACAGGAATTAAGAAGATGGAAATAACGATTGACATTGCATTTATCTTTTTGAAGATCAAAATAGCAAGTAGCCGGAAGAGTGTTCCACAGGCGAGAAGTGCGGTAGAAGAAACTGCTAGGATAGAAGTTAGCCATTTCAATTGTAAAATAATGAGACCTTTCTGTCTTTCTAATAGTACGCTTAAATTCATCAAGTCTATGTACGCTAGAGGAAAGTTAATCGGAACAATTACCATGGAAATATTTACAGAAAAGGCACAGAAAGCTCCATTACGGCGACTGAAACCTAGATGCCAGGTCAGGATCAATAACACTGCAGATTCTTCTTCGGGTTTTATACAAAATTGTAAAGGATAAATCATAATAAAAATAACAAAGTTAACCATTAGTCAATGAAGGTTAACTGAGACGTGGTTAACGTCCCTGTTTTGTAAGTGCAGCAGTGCCTCTTCTCATTTTAGAAGGAAGAAGTTGCTCAGCCCCGGGGATTCCAATCTTAAGGCAGCACCTTCCTCATTGCACTAAAGAGATTGGGTCAGTGTACTACCGATGCCATTGTAACAGTGGTCACAGGGGTTGGGCAAAAATCAATTTTTGTCCTTCACCCATATGCATAGGTATGCGTATGGCGCTCACCACGTTAAAACGACCTTGTGTCACACCCAGTCTTGGTGGGAAAGCCGCGTAATATACCCGGTATCAAAATTGAGGATTCTGTCTGAGAAAAAAAAAATGTTTACAATCTTTCAGAATTTAAATGCGACCTCAATCGCCATCTTCTGTCTTTCTGAAATCTTCCTTTATTGACTTTTCCCCTCACTAAAGTGTTCGCGTTCTCTACTAATCCCAGCACCCCCAACCGGCCTCGTAGTGGTATTATCGCTTTGAGTGGGGGTAAAAAGATTAAAAAATACATCGGTTTAAATACACAGATTTAAATACATAGTTTTAAATACATAGATTTAAATACACAGATTTAAATACACAGACTTAAATACATACTTTTAAATACATAGATTTAAATATACAGATTTAAATACATAGATTTAATTACACAGATTTAAATACATAGACTTAAATACATACTTTTAAATATATAGATTTAAATATAAAGATTTAAATACATACATTTAATTACACAGATTTAAATTCATAGATTTAAATACGTAGATTTAAATACATGTATTTAAATACATAGTTTTAAAAACATAGATTTAAATACGCAAGTTTAAATACAGAGATTTAATTAAATAGATTTAAAACTAATTTTAATACACCAATCTTCTGTTTTTCTGAAATCCTTTATTGACTTTCCCCACCCACTAAAGTCTTCTTGTTCTCTTCCATTCCCAGCAACCCCCTGGCCTCGTAGTGGTATTACTGCTTTGTCTGGGGATAAAATGATTTTTAAAAAAAAGAAAGATTTTATGGAAGAAATACGGAAAGTGAAAGATATTAACTCATAAATATCGATTTGCAGATTCTCCTTTGTAATTAATCAAGAATATCTAAATACATAGATTTAAATACGTAAATTTGAAAATACTTTTAATACACCCAATATGTAGAAGAAAAAAGTAGCAACAATGACAATTGTGAAATACATAAAAACAAACTCCTAAATAGTGTAAAACAGAATTCATTTTGTTTATCGGTTGAAGAGAAACACACATCATCGTTTATTCTAAGGCAACTGCTGTTATATCGAGTTATATTTCAGTCATATTTCTTTTGTAATCTCGGATATTATTATCTGGAAAACAAAAAAACAAAAACAAACAACGACTACATATAAAAATGACACCGTTCCAAACGTGCTTATTTATTCCACACATTATTCGAACTCGCATCTCCATCTTCCAAAGATCACCGGGTGCGGGACACACCTGAGGAAGGCCAAAGAACATACCGGTCGAAATGCCGTGAATGATAAAAAAACGACGAAAATAGCGATTGTTATTATTCTCTCTTGCATAGTTTTGTTTGCCTTCATCTTATTTCTGTTGACCATTAACGCTACTGCCTTAGGCCGTTAAGCAACGTGCTTAAATGATTGCAGAAAAGAATAACGACCTGAGCGTTGCGATAATGAACAACCGAAATAAACTGAAAGAAATACTCATAAAAAATATGTATAATAATGACTGACAATGCTTCACCAAAGAGTTTCTAAAAATATTGCATGTAGATACGATTACTAATAATGCATGGAATAATAAAAACACGTGTCATAATATCAGGTAATTCGTATTTAAAATATAAAGAGATCATAATACAAAGAATAAAACTGTTAGTGTTTTAAGCTAAAGGCATTGGTCAATTGTGTCTGATAAAAGATAAACAAATTAACAATATTAAACAACGTGATACTTTTTGTCTCTCTTAGTTCTGCAAATACTAAAATAAATAAAAACAAAGGTTTATCTAAAACATTACCAAAACAGTCAACAAGGCAAGTGTGATATATACAGGATGTCCATAAAATTCGTGTGCACTTTAAAAAATGTATAACTTTATTTGTATTTGCGATAGAAATAATTCGTAAAAACGATTAGAAAGAAGTAAATCTATATTTTTTAAGGTTTTATTGAAATTTTATTTAAGTTTCCACATATCCTCCATCATTAGCAATACAAAGGGTAATAGGATTTTGCAGTTCACAGAAAACATTTGCCAACTGATTTACAGTAATGCCTGAAATCACATTAGTTATTTTAGCTATACTTAAAACTAGGTACATTAAACTTTATAACATTTTTTACAGATTATTTCTATCGCAAATACAAATAAAGTTATAATTTTTTAAAGTGCACACGAACTTTATGGACACCCTGTATATATATTTATATATATATATATGTGTGTGTGTGTGTGTGTGTGTGTGTGTGTGTGTGTGTGTGTGTGTGTGTGTGTGTGTGTGTGTGTGTGTTGGTTGTATTTGAGCAGTACTTTTCATTTATACAAGTTTGGTTAAATACCAATGAAAGTTTACTGTTAATTATTTTGTTGTTTATTGTTTCAATGTTCCGGGTTATTTTCTTGGTTTCAGGTACATATTTGAAGGTATATTGCACCCCCCCAACCGTCTGAAGACTTTCGCCCACTGACAGCCATTATCAAAGACGTTTGATTTTTGTTTGTTTGTTTTTGCAATGTCATCGCTTTGCTTTGGCTTGTTTTGGTTTGCTTTTTATTTATTTTGTTTCACGGCATATCAACACCTCAATGGGCTATTTAATGCCGACAAGATTTTTAGGATAGGTTCGTATGAATAGAACATCCTTTATAAGAAATCAGATCAAGTTTCATTGACGTATTTTCGTAAAGATGGTTTATGTCCAGAGTCAAATGTATTGCTGGTATTTTTTTTAAATGTATTGCTGGTATTCTTATAAAAATCTATTATTATACTTTCATAGTGTTTTGACTCCAGTTTGGGGGTTAACTATTTTCCCATTTTTGTGACCCTAACAGGTGCTACCACCTCGGGTCAGCAATTAAGAGGTGGTTCCACGTTTCTCAAAACTTCCCAATCAGAGGCCTTGCTGCCAGGTGTAGTTTATCGTCATACCCAGGACAGGAACTGGTTAGCATTTTTCATTCATACACGTTTGGTTAAGTACTGACGACATAAAATAATAAAAGTTTTTGATAATGGCTAACGATAGCTAAGAATACTTAGACATAGAATAATATATTTACTTTGACATAGAGTAATATATTTATTATTGACATAGAATAATATATTTACTATGACATAGAGTAATCTATTTATTATTGACATAGAATAATATATTTACTATGACATAGAGTAATCTATTTATTATTGACATAGAATATATTTACTATGACATAGAGTAATCTATTTATTATTGACATAGAATAATATATTTACTATGACATAGAGTAATCTATTTATTATTGACATAGAATAATATATTTACTTTGACATAGAGCAATATATTTATTATTGACATAGAATAATATATTTACTTTGACATAGAGCAATATATTTATTATTGACATAGAATAATATATTTACTTTGACATAGAGTAATCTATTTATTATTGACATAGAATAATATATTTACTTTAACATAGAGCAATATATTTACTTAGACACAGAGTTATATATTTATTTTGACATAGAGTAATGTATTAAATTTGACATAGAGTAATATATTTATTATTGACATAGAATAATATATTTATTTTGACATAAAGTAATATATTTAATTAGACATAGATATTATAATATATTTACTTTGACATTAGGTAATATATTTAATTAGACATAGATATTATATTTACTTTGACAAAAAGTAATCTATTTACTTAGACATAGAGCAATATATTTTCAAATATGAATCTGAAATCATGAAAACAATATGGAACGACGAAAAAATAAACAAAAATAATTAACAAGGAATATGCTCATTGGTATTTAGCTAAACTTGTACAAGTAAAAAAATACTGACCAAGTTCAACCACACACACACACATATATATATATATATATATATATATATATATATATATATATATATATATATATATATAAAATCAGTTCAATCCACAATGAAATTCAATGCTTCTTTTTCTTGGTTGATTTCACCGCTAATTTGTGGAATCGAGACATTTTGAAGCGGTTATTTGTCGTGGAAATATGAAGATCGTGCATTTTTCGATTCATGTCTTGAAGTATTGCAGACTGTCGTGCCGTGATACGAGATGCTGCCGACCATCCGTGAGTGACGACCGTGCTGAACATGTGTAGACGTGAGTGGACGTCTTTTTTTAGTGCCGATCCGAGGATGCTTTCGAATTGTGCTAACTGCAACAAGATTCGAAGCTCCTGTCGATCCCGACTTGAGAGATACGTCGAATCAATTTGCTGTCTAATGTACGCCGACATCGACTGAATATTCCCATAGTTCTTCTCAGGTTTGTCCGCAGTCACTGGAGATCCACTTCCGGTTCCCAGCTGGTCGTTATTAACATGAGTTGCCTGGTTTTTGTCAAGAATCGATTTCGTTTGTACGGTAGACGAAGGCAAAACCCCGTTACTCATTGGACTTGAGGTAACGTCTCCCTGTTCTGACCCAAAATATGACGTAGTATGTTGGGTTGCTTCTTCCTGGGTTTTCGCTGTCATGATAGGGTCAACAGGGGTTGAAGAGCGTGAATCGAGACGAGATACTTCCGGTGGACTTGTGGGTCGACTTCCCGTGCTGTTCAGCCATTCGTATTTCATCAGATTAATTGCTGATCTGTCGTAGCGGTATGAGCGTTGCTTAATTGGTGGGGTATGCTCGAAACATTTCGTGGTTGAGGATTGGTTTTTGCTTTCAACAACGAGTTTGCTGGTCAATCCCGACGCTGCAACTTCTTCCTCGACGCTCTCTTCAACTTGAATCTTCTTGCAGAAGGTTTCATTTTGCCGAATCAAGTGTCGAAAGACTTGATCCAGCTTCGATTCTAAGTTACAAAGACGAAGCTGTTGAATCGGGCTCAAATGGGTGAGGATACGATCAAGTTTTCCTTCTAGAGTGGTCAGTCGACCCTGCTGAATAGGGTTTAAACGCTGAAGGACCTGTTCCAGTTTCGCTTCGACGCTGGTCAGTCGAATATTCGTTTGAGCTATCTCCTCCTGCAGTTCAACGATTCGAGTATCATCCGAAACAATGACCTTTGACATGACGACGTAAATTCCTCGGTTGCGTTTCACGTTCACGAAATAACTTTACGAAGCTGCTTTTTATTTTTTATTTTTTATTTTTTTGGAAAGTTATTTGATTTCAAAAACGAAAGAATGATTTTTTTTTTAATGGGGAAATTCCAGTTTTTATCCTTTTTAGTAGATATTTTAATATACTTGTAATTTTAAATTTTATTTATTTACTTGTAAAAAAATCAATAAATCTTAAACACAACAATTCTCTAAACAGAGGCACTTGACTTCAAGGGGAGGAATTTCAAATATAAGGAGAGAATTTTTAACAAGGGGGTAATTTGAAAAGATATTTCAGTCATATATATATATGTATATATATATATATATATATATATATATTGGGGCACCTCGGCGTGGTGTAATGCCTAGCAAGATATTTTTTGCTTGACCAATTACGAAAGAGTAGGGAGTTCGATCCTCACTGGATCCTTTATATTTTCGGCTTTGTGCCACATCTCAGCTTAGTAAATTCCTATATATATATGTGTGTGTGTGTGTGTGTGTGTGTGTGTGATAAAAATAGTAGTGAAAGAATGAATAAATGATAAATCAGAACGCAAGTAATTTGTTCTTGGATTCTTAGAGCTACTGTTTAAAAATAAATTTTAAACTGGATATTTTTTATGTACGAAGAATAAGTATTCTTCGTTTTTCTATATTTATTTTAATTTATTTATTTTTTTATTTATTCATTTATTTTTTATTTATTTATTTTTTGCATATAACCCGTTTTTTCTTTTATATTTCTTTTAATTAGATTACTAATCCGATCGTCCGCATTCAATCAACCAATTATTGAAAAACTACAAATCTCAAAAAAAAAAAAAAAAAAAAAAAGACTAATGGAAACTAATAATTAAGAGGAAACATATAAGTCATTATTAGTTCATAATAATTATTTGATTATTTTGAATGTATTTTTTAGTTTATTTCTTTCTTTCTTGTTTTTGATTTCTTCTTTTTCTTTTTATTTGTGTTTCATTTGTGCTTTTTTTCTGCCCTAAAACACAGTTACTTCGTGAAGTTCACAAGTCGAAATCACGTTTTCTCTGAACGAACAAATTGTACACGCTTTCAGTTCATAAAATATGACGTCACACCGAGAATTCATATCGAAAGCTTTTCCTGAACACAGTTGTTTACAATCTTTTGTTGTTAATAGTTTAGAGTGCTTTTCATTTTAACTTCATTTCTTTCTTTCGCAAGCAAATACCGCGTTTTCGCATTCACATATCGTTTGTTTATTTCCTTATATTATTTATTTACATTTTGCACGTTAAATCAGGTCTGCGGGCGTGCTAATAAACAAAACAAAATCTTATCAAAGTGTATAAAAAAAATATTTATAAATATAGCATGGCATTTTTTTCGCAGCTTCTATAGGAAACGAGTTATCTGATTAATGTTGTTTAACTATAAAACAAAACAAATGTTTTTCTGCGCATGCGTGTGAAGATATAATTACGTGGTTATTGCGATAAGTGACCAGGTAAACTAAAATCAAATGCAAAAGATAGACACGTGAAAATGATGGGTAAACATTGAAACTGTCCTTTTGTTTCTTTTGTTATTTTTTTCCCGATTATCCGAAAACAAAATATTTTTTTTAAAAAAATAGAAGTTCTTACCGCTGGGCATAGAGGATCATGGGATTGCAAATATTTCCGTGAGAATTAATCATGTCTCAAATTTAAACGGTTTTTGTTGCGTTTATTTTATATTTTTTTTTTTTTTTTTCGACGATGCACAAGTGTTAGCAAATAGAAAGACTGCAGAAATGTTAAAACTGTTGGTTTTATGTATAGCGAGATAAAAACAGATTTTTTCTGAAATAAAAATTAAAGCAGAATTTTTTTTGTTGTTGCCTGTCAGGGATTTTTTTTCATTTACCTGGAAGCGTGTAATCCGAGAAAAAAAAAACTCACGCAAAACTGAACTTTAAAGAATTTTTTTTTTTTTAGAAGAAATCGAACTTTTTTTCTTCGCTCACGAAAGATTTTTAACGATCCGAATAAAAAGGCATAAAAAATGAAGAATAAAAATCCGAATACTTGAGAAAGTTTCTTCAGTTTCCTCTTCCTTAAATTAAAATCCACAAAGACCAATGACCATATCTTTGATTTAAGTAACAATAATAATCTCTAAGTTTTCACGTTGTTTCAAATTACTGAAGTTTTACGCTAGCTTCAGTCTGCTAAGATCAAATTTGTTTAATAAAAGAAATATCGTTTGTTTTGTCTTTTCTGTTTACTTTTTAAGCAGTAGATTATGTAGGCGCTGATCTCGCAGAAGTAGAAGTCCACTGTTCATTGTTTAACGTTTCAACTCCATTTTGCGTCTTACAGGAGGCTGCGCGTTACGTGTTCGTACGTGCGAGAAGAAAGTAGATTTCAGCCGATCGTTAGAAAAAAAAACGCGGTGGATACCGACCGTATTAGACAAGAAAGATGAAGATGAAGTAACAATGAGGAAGAAGCGAACTCGGTTGACGGGGAACACTGAAAGATGAGGCGGATATTTTATGAAAATTGTCCGGCGGTGATTGGAAGAACGGAAAGGAGGTGGGCGTACGTGCGATCGTGCGTGAGGGAATGTTGTGCAAACTCGATGATGCGTACGGTGCGGTTAGAACAGTTGTGTGCACGCGCGTGTGTGTTTATTTGTGCGTGTGTGTATAGTGGCGGTGGCGGTGATTGTGAGGAGAACTTCTAAGGCATCTGGAATTTTGTGCGTATGAGTGCAGTTCTCTGATGCAGCATGTGATCAAACAGGCTTTTAACGTGTTGTGCGACGCGATAGGAATGTATGCGTGCAGCTGCCTGTTGACGCATGCGTGTTTGACTGCGTCAACCACGCAGATAGATCTCTGCCTGCGCGCACATTTCATATTATTATTATTATTATTATTATTATTATCATTAAGTGTACCTCTTTGAGTGCATCTAGTGCTTTCCAAGAACGTCATTTTACGCTGTCATTTCCCGCGTATATTCCTGCTGCTTTGTGGACGCATGCATTTCGTGTACAGCCGTGTACGTACGTGCATGTCGTCACAGTGGGCGCAAACGACAAACAAAACAAGGACAATGGTTCTGGATTATGGTTTTTCGACCATTTTGTCTTAACGTTCTTGAAAAAGGCATCAAGAGTGTTCTCTCCTCGCTGGGTCCCAACGCCAGTCATTTGGTTCTTTCGCCAGCAGTAGACCTCCGTTTGGAAATTTTCTTTCTTTCTTTTTCTTCATGCGCGTTCATTTTAAATCATGAAAATGATTTATGAGTATCATAAACGTCGAAATTTTTCTTCTTCCTTTTGTGCCATGTCCCTTCAAGACGTCAGCGATAATGGCTCTCCACAACTTCCTGTCCGTTCTGTTCTTAGTAAAGTTTAACTTTTTGCTATCTCGCTTAACTATTCTAACTGGTCTATCAACCATTTCCAAAAGCCCGTGAAGTAGTTTATTCACTACTTTCCTCTGTCCGTCTTGCCTTTAATATGTGCTATGAGTGTCAAATTCTCCAAGCCTTCTTTCCTCATTAGGTACCTTTGAAAATTCCAGTTGCCTCTTTCTGATTCTAAATTTATGTGTACTTTTTGTTTCCATTTTCCTTAAAATACGTTCATTCCATAGTATTCTCAGCATCCTTCTGTAGAACCACATTTTTGCTGCTTAAAGTCTTTCTTCATCTGCAATGAGATTTTCCAGCATTCACTGGCATGTAGAAGGACCGATATTACAAAACTGTTCAGTTCTCACACACACACGCACGCACATATATATATAGTCGACTCTCATATAGTCGACTCTCCCGTCGAATTCGACGTATGAGGGTCAAGCAGATCAGTTCCACGGAAACCGACATGAGATTTGATTATAGTGGTGAAGGTTTCGTGGAGGACCAGCCACACTTTTTGAAGGGCTGAATTCAGTTCCACAAGGTTTTGAATTTTGAATTCAGAGTTGTCCTTCTCCTAGACCAGTTGCCATCCAAGGCTATAGAACCCAGTCTGTCCTGCTATTTACCCAAGGGTATTAGCACGTAAGTGAATGTAATGGGTTCGACTGGAATTCGGACTCGGTTCTCCGATTCCTCAATCCAAGCCGCTATCCACTACTCCACCGTTCCTCTTTATATATATATATATATATATATATATATATATATATATATATATATATATATATATAGCTTGAGACAATGGACGATACGGATCATTTTGCACTGCCTTACTCCCAACAAACGAAAAGAATGTAAAAGTGGTAGAAAGACTAAATAAAAACTAATTTAATTTTCCTTGTCTGTCATATTCAGTAAAACATGTTTAAAAGAAAGTTTGCTGCCCATATATATATATCTTACAATGAATCATTCATACAAAAAGTAGATTAGTAAAGTTAATGATATAAAATGGCGAAATCTTTTCACAAACAAAATTTTAAAGGTACATAAACCTACAAATTACTCGATGAATGTTATGATCCTTGTTTTTAATTATAAGCTGTATAAGGTCTTTCTTTAATACGCAAGTACTTTCAACTGTACATTGAGTCATTTCGATTCGCATTATATCTTTTCGTCTCAGTGCTACCTGAATTTTACAAAAAAAATAATTTCCATACTTGAAGATGACTGAATGTACAGTCGAAAGCACTTGCGTATTAAAGAAAGACCTTATACAGCTTAAGAAAGCAGATATAGGAAACAAAGAAAAATTTATTGGAATTAATGAAAATTGGGGAATCACCGAATCCCCAGAATCCTTTGGCCCCATGCCAGTTTTGGGCCAAATTGCATATAAGCAGATGACTTTGGGGACCTTGGAGATTTGGGGATGAGATCCCGAACTGAGTGCCTCTGAAATCCACGTTAGCTGCCAACCAGATTTCCTGATTCCAAGACTTTGAACCCAGCCCCTTCGGAAGCTCAGACAAGGCCCAGTGTCATGATAGAGATTGATACGAG